ATAGTGATTAGGACTCCCCCCAGTACTAGGTTACATTATTGGGGTACACATCTAAACCGTGTGGGAGTAGGGATACAGTTCCCAACAAAATTGGGACTCTCCCTGTAAAAAGGAGGAGGCAACAGTTGTCTGAACATTTGCTGACCCGTGGTGGCCTAGATGAATGAAAGAAAAAAAAATGGACATTCTGATTCAGCCCCTGAGCCTGTTTCAGTGACTTCAGATTGCTGTCTCATCCCCTGTGGCAGGAATCCAGCATAGCTCGGCTGCTCTCCAGTAGTCAGCTGGAGTTGATTCTTCCCGGGAATTTGGCCATAGTAACAGAAGTTGATAGTTTTGAGGCAAGCAGGCTCATTAGGCAGTACCTGCTTAGAGTTCATGTGTCTTCTGTTCTTATTACCCTTCCTGCTCTGTTTATGAATGAACTGAGCAAACTCTTGAGAAAGGCAGCTGAATGCCATGCGCAGAGAGAGAGAGAGAGAGAGAGAGAGAGAGAGAGAGAGAGTTGGCCTGTCTGTAATGTAATCTCTCCTGCCATTGGTCAGAGGCTCTGGAGAGCAGAAACACAGAGGCACTGGGCCAGGTTCTGAGAGATCTGTCTGTTGACCGTTTCCTTACACTTCCTTGAAACCAGTCTTCAAATACTATGTCTAAGGCCTTGCCCAGCCAAACCCTACAGCTGTCAGCTTCTGCCATGTGTTACCATCTAAGATAGGTGGTGGGGCACTTTCCAGTCCTGTTTCCCCGCAGGCTCTCTAGGTGTCGTGCGACCCGGGGTGGGGAGGTGGGGGGGTTGGGGGGTGGGGGTTGGGGGGGGCCTGAGAAGAGAGCCTGGACAGCGGTGAGCATCCAGGATGTGGTCCCGCCCACCTCTTCCCAACCTATCTCCCAGAGACTGCAAGAGTCAGCTTCCTGTTGCTATGGAGAAATACTTAGGGCGATTAGCTTATAAAAAGTACCGCCCCTGCTTCTGGAAGTTTCAGTCCCAGATGGAGGACAGAGCAGCATGGTGCACTAAACTGCTCCATTAGCTAACAGGAAGTACAAAGCGAGAGGAGGAACCTAGGGTTTCACAGTCCCCTTAAAGAACATGCCTGCTGTGAACTCACCACCTCCCCAAAAGTCTCCACCTCTTCCGAGGCGCCTCTCACTAGCCATGCCCTGATGACCAAGCCTTTAACACAAGGACCGTTGGGGAACATTCAGCCTTCAAGCCATTGCACACCCCATGAATGTATGGGGCTATGGTGAAGGACTGTGATGGGAACTGATTCTGAAATTCTTTCCTCATAGAAGTCCAGAAGGGCAGAGCTGGGGGGGGAGGGATGTGGGGGCACACGGATGTGAGTCTGGTCCACCTGGACTGAAGGTCAGAGAGGTTGGGTTTATTTTTACCCTTTCAAGGTTGTTGACAACAGGTGTGGCTACAAACAAGAACCCCTGACCTAGAGTGTGGTTACTTATAGTGTTTTGGACATTAAGATGGCCCATAGAGGTGGATCCACTCCACCCTGACCAAAGGTCAGAGAATTCAAGTCTATTCCTGCTCCTTCATTTTAAAGTAGGAGGTTTGACATAGGAAGTGGCTGCCTATGGGATATTGGTCTAGGGTGTGTTCACTGCATATCCTGCCCATCAGAATGCTTAACTCAGGAAATAGTACCTTGACATCTCAAGTATTGAAGCAATAACTGTTCTCGTCCTTTGTGTCCTGTTAAGCAGTCTTTTGCCTTCTCACCCCCCTTTGGATTGGGGTTTATAAGCGTGTGAGAAGTTCATGTGGGTGGACTCAGTGTTCACGGAATGTCCCTCCCGTTGTTGTTCTGTGTTTCTGTCTGTTTTTCTCATAGCTCTGTTCATTTTGCTTAATAATTCTTTTTAAAAGATTTATTTATTTATTATGTATACAACATTCTGCCTCCATGCATGCCCGCATGCCAGAGGAGGGCGCCAGATCTCATTACAGATGGTTGTGAGCCACCATGTGGTTGCTGGGAATTGAACTCTGGACCTCTGGAAGAGCAGCCAGTGCTCTTGACCGCTGAGCCATCTCTCCAGCCCTTGCTTAATAATTCTAATCCTCATTCTCCTACCCTCAAATGTGTGAGTTTCCTCGAGGCTGGTGCCCCACAGAGGGGAGGGTCTTCTTCACTCTTCATAATGTATGGGGTGAGAGTGGCCCTTAGTGTCAGGATCCGGGCTGTGTGGTGCTGAGTGAGGTGTCAATGTCGTTAGTAACGGATGCTCCTTGACGTGCACATGTTCAGATGTAAGCATGAACATCCCATGAACCTTGGAGCGAGTGTCCTTAAGGAGCCATGAAGTGCTATTACCATGACCACTGTCTTCACATCCCTGGGGATTTTAATGGGAAACAAGTAGTCAGACTCAGATAAGCTCCCTTCCTGTGTTTTCAAGGGTGCCAATAAAACCTTTTTTAAAAAAGATGTATTCATTATGTATACAGTGTTCTGCCTGCATACAGGCCTGCAGGCCAGAAGAGGGCACCAGATCTCATTATAGATGGCACTTGTCATTTCTGAAAAAGTCACGAGAAAAAGGCTGCTAAGGCAATTAGCCCTTAGCCCCAAAACCTAACACCCATAACCTGTTAAGTATAGCAGTTAAATTCTAGCTGGGAGTGGTGGTTCACACCTTTAACCCCAGCATTTGGATGGTAGAGACAGGTAGAACTCTGAGTTCAAGACCAGCCTGGCCTACAGAGAGAGTTCCAGGACAGTTACACAAAGTTACACAAAGAAGCCCTGTCTTCAAAAACCAAAAACCAAACGAAAAAAAAAAAAAAAAAAGTATAGCAAATTCTGTAACTGATACCTACAGGACAAAAGGAGGGAACAAGGAGCTAAAGCTACCAGAGAGAACGGGAGGCACACCCAGGGGATTTCACAGCTTTCCCAAGAGCTTCCATTGGCAGATAACTGGTGACAATTATCCACACATCGAATAAGAACACAGGGTGGGGGTGGGGTGGAGCTAACATCAAGCCGCCGCTCCCCCCCCCCCCCCCCCGCCCCCCACCAGAGACCAGAGTAACCTTGGAATGAGAAAACCTCAGACTCCAGCTGGCTCAGACTTGTCCATTTTACCATCAATGCCCCCTGGCAGTCCTGGCATCCTACCCTGGGCCACATCCTCATTAGTCCAATTAAAGAGACAATAAAGAAAAACAGAGAAGGGAGGTTTATTTCAATGTGGCCACACTGGGAAGAACAAATGAAAGAAGCCCAGTGCGGAGGTTTGAATAGAGAGGCCCCCACAGGCCCACTGGGAGTGGCACTATTAAAAGGTGTGGCCTTGTTGGGGGAGGTCTCAGCTCCAGCCTGTACTCTTCCTGTTTCCAGGAATTCCAGGAGAATTCCAGATGGAGAGCTCTCAGTTCCTTCTCCAGCACCATGCCTGCCTGCCTGCCTGCCACCACGCTTCCCGCCATGATAAGAACGGGCTACACCCCTGAACTATAAGCCAGTCCCACTAATATGTTTTCTCTTCGAAGAGCTGCCACGGTCATGGTGTCTCTTCGCAGCAATAGAAACCTTAAGGCATCCAATGGCCCTCACCTCAAGTTCATCTTCCGGGCCCTGTGATATGAAGTCTAGGTTTAAATAGAGGGCAACAGGTGTGCATAACTAAGCGATCCTGGTCAAGGTGTGATCCTCCTTAGTAGCATTGTCTCAGCCCCAGTCCCTTCCGCAGAGGCTTCTGACAAATCTTCAGAGCTGTCTGAACTCTTTTGTTCAGGGAGACAAGTTCCTCCAGCCTTTGGCCTTTCTCGTTCTCCAGCTTGAGACTCCTGAGGAAACTCCATTTCCTTGGGAACCATTGTTTCAATAGTCTGGGAGCCAAACGGAGGGGCACACGTCTCTCCATTTCTGTCAGAAGCGGTGCAGAACCAAGTATAAACCCTGAAGTCACAAGACAGAGCTGCCGTCGCCTACACTGCATGCTTTTGCCTTGATGCAAAATTTTCTAACAAATCGAAAAGAACTAGGGAAACAAAGGGAGACCCAGAGTCCCAGTGACATTTCCTGGGCACCTGCCAGATATCTGGCTTGTTAATGAGAAAATTATACAAAGTCTACCAAGGGCTTAGATGAGGGTCGCTCTGCGGGATTGAGCAGTGCTTCCCTGAGGGCCGACAACTGCCCAGTTTAGCATTATACGTTAAGGCCTGGAGGAGCCCAACTGGTACCTTTGACTCAAAACCTTTTCCTTATCCCCTCTCGCTCCAGAGAGCTCCCAAGCCTCCTCCCTCGTGTGCAACAGCAAGGATGCAGGGAAGTAACTGGATGGCGACTCTATTCTGCTTCCTTCCCCATCTACGAGGACCGACACGTGCAGGATTGTAGGCCTTGGGGACACATGTCCTAGGAGGCTCAGGACACACAAAAAGTCTTAGTTGAAAGTGGCTGGGTTGAAGGTGGCACTATGCCAGGGGATGGAAGGCTGTCTGCTGGTACAACAGGAGAGCAGAGACCAGTAAGGGATCCACAGGTCTGCCAATTTCACAAGCTTAGAGGAAGTTCCCAAGGCAAGTAAGGATTGTTTTTTCTCCAAGCACAAGCCACCACGCTTTTGGCTCATTATTTGAGGTTAAATCGTATTCACTGGAGTCTGTCATTCCTGGCCCTTTGGCAGGACAGAGAAAGTCAACATGACTACCTAATAGCACACATCAAGGGCTGAAGTTTTTCTCTACTTGGAACAGAAATTTCTCAGGCCTGAACTTGCTCATGTCGTACAGTTAACCTGTAGCATCTACCAGGGATGACTCGACAAACCTAATCGCTAGAGTCAAGTCCTTTCTGCCTATTTTACTAAATGATACGTCCGTCGTTTCTATCTTAGGAAACAAAAGAGCCAAAGGCACTTCCTGGAGCGCCAAAGCGCACCAAGGCCAGCATCAGTAGTGCGCAGAAGCGCGGTAGCGTCCCCTTTGGGACGTAGCCTGACGTCAGCGGAGGCGGAGCTAGGGGAGGAGCCGCAGCCGTCTTGGGGCGGTACTGAGCTGGGTCACGTAGCTCAGGTCCCTGACTTGGGCCACGTCCCGCCTTTCACTGGTCTCTGGTCCCCGCGTGCAATCCCTCCGCCACAATGCCGATGTTCACCGTGAACACCAACGTTCCCCGCGCCTCCGTGCCAGAGGGGCTTCTTTCCGAGCTCACCCAGCAGCTGGCGCAGGCCACCGGCAAGCCGGCACAGGTTTGCAGGGAGGGTACAGGAAGGGAGTGGGGTGGAACCGTCCGCCGGGTAGAGGAAGAATGGGATTGAGAGCCAAGGCGGGCCGGCGGGTGGCGGTTGGAGCTCTCTGGGAGACCTGTGGCCCGTGGTCTTTCAGGCTGGCTAACCGCGTGCCCACCCCTCCTCCCCCCGCAGTACATCGCAGTGCACGTGGTCCCGGACCAGCTAATGACCTTTAGCGGCTCTAGCGACCCCTGCGCCCTGTGCAGTCTGCATAGCATCGGCAAGATCGGCGGCGCGCAGAACCGCACCTACAGCAAGCTGCTGTGCGGCCTGCTGGCTGATCGCCTGCACATCAGCCCTGACCGGTGCGTGGGGCTGATGGGTGAGGGGAGCTGGGAGGTCGGCGGGGGGCGGGGCAGTCCAGAGGGCATCGTCACGCTCGCCGAGACCGCGTGTTTTGCTGAGTCGGGCTTTCCTTCTCGCAGGATCTACATCAACTATTACGACATGAGCGCAGCCAACGTGGGCTGGAACGGTTCCACCTTCGCCTGAGTGCTGGCCTAATAACTTACCTGCACCGCTGTTCTTGGAGCCTTGCTGCACGCAGCGTTCTGTTTTCGTCCACACGTAGCAATGCCCACCCTCCGATCGGGAGAAATAAATGGTTTAGAGACCACGGTTGCCTCAGCTTCTGCTTCCTTGGTTTGCAGAGGGACTGGTGCAGGGCGGGGCCGTTGAATGAAGTCCAGGTTGCAGAGGTAGGGTGGGGTGGGGTGGCAGGCTCGGAGTTGTCCAGTGGCTCTCTCAAAATCCGTGGTTTAGATGCTCTTTTGTCCAGGCTTTCCTAAGGGGTTGACTTATCACCAAAGACCTCAGACCAAGAGCCCCGAGTCAGAGCTTCCCAAGCAGGAGTTGCATCCTGAAATAAGTTACTTGCTCCGGGCGGGAATCCCGAATGTTCTTACCGCAGTAGTAAACGGTGCCTGTAATGTGCTTTCATTGAAGAGGGGATTACTCCAGCAGAAGGGTGGGTAGCTGGGCCCGCACCTTTCTAGGCCCGACTTAGCTCTCCAAGAATCACGGCGTTAAGCCAAGGGTTTCAGTTTCTCGATCTGGATAGTTACTTGTCCTGGAACTTTGGGACAGTTTTTTAGGCATGTTGGTGGGAGAGGTGGCCAAGATACAAAATTCTCCTAGGCCACACTCCCCAACTCATTATTGCCTGTGTACTGCTCAGGGGAACAGCCCCCCCCCCCCCAGCAGTTCCCCGAGAATGCGCGAGGGTGGAGGGAGTACCTGCCTTCCATTATCATTAACATTAGGGTAGAAAAGGTACTGGCCCTCGGCATTTTCATAAACAAAATCATTGGCAAAGGTCGTCTCTAACCTGGGGTCCCCACAATAGGTGGGGTAGGCGGAATCCCAGTTTGGGCCATAAGAACCTGCTGCTCCCGAAGGAATTCCTCGCTGTTCCCTAGTGTGAAGCCTTCCAGTTAAGGAAGCCTCGCTGAGATGAATGTGTCAGGGCTGGCTGGAGTTCCCTGAAGAGACTGGCCAAGTGGTGGTGGCAGCAGCTGCACGTTCCTTTAATCCCAGCACTCTGGAGACAGGCAGGCAGGCATCTCTTAGTTCCAGGACCAGCCTGGGCTACACACAAAAAAAGGAGCCTGTACCACTCTGCCCCCATTGACTCCCCTCCAGAGAAGTCTGTAACAACAACATAGAGAGGGATGCTTGATGTACCCCATTTCTCAGATTTAGGAAAAGTAACTTCAGTGGACTCCTGCTGGTCCCAGATCCCTTGCTCTCAGCTTCTTGTCCAGGTATGAACATTCTAGATAAATGTGTGGGTGTTTTTCTTTTTTTTTTTTTTTTTGTAAGAATCCCAAGGAATTAAATTTGTCTTTTGGATTCTGAGGGACCCTGCCTGGGAACAGAAACCTCTCGACACCTGACTGGGAGAGAGGAGCTTGTCCGTCTGAGTCCGACAACTGTGACAGAGACCTAAGGTCTAGTGTAGGTACAGTGTCCTTCCTGGGCACGATTGCCAGGATCCCTGCCCATTGTATTCTATCGTTAGCAGAATAAACACGCCAGGCCAGGCTTGAAACCAAATAGATCGTGGGCATCTTCAGAACCACCCAGGCCCTGGAGGCACCTAACCCAGAAGAGGTACAGTGCCACACAGATCCGCACCCTCTCCCAATGGGCACCTAGGGCACCCCTAGTGCAGTCTTGGCCATGCCTACCTAACTAAGTATGCTTCCCAGGCAGCTTGCTAATCTGTTGTGCTTAGATTTAGGAGTCTTTACCCCGGGAGAAGGGGGACCCCATATCAGACACATCACCATCCCCCACCACTAGATCAGGACAGAAGTAGGGCCAGGAGGGGGAATGTTTAGAAAGAATCAAAGCTAATGAGACTGAATCATGAACATAGATGCCTTCTCAGTGTGGAGGCCAGCCATCCCTGAAGGTTCCCAAAGCAAGACCCTTCCTAGCTTACTATCACCATAAGGGGCCTTCTGACTTTGCTTCATCTCATTCTGCATGCATGAAGGCATGCCATACCTGCCTGCCTCCTTACTGGGAGGCATGTCCTTGCTGCAGTCTTAGGGACAATCTGGGGCTGCCCTCTGGAATCTGAGTACCTCTTGTGTGGCAGGCTACCTTCCGTTCTCAACCCGGCCTTTGCCACATCTCCTTAACCACAGGGTTGGGCTTGAGGTTGGGCCTTCCACAGACTCCTGAGTCCTACCTCAGAACCTCTTTTTTTCTGCTAATCTGTCTTGCTGCACCTGGCGCCACTGAATCACCTTTATGCTCAAGCAAGACTCCCCCCACCCCACACCTGCTCTACACAGAGGGGCTCAGGCCTCCACCAGATCTAGTCTAACTCCCTCATTTCACAGATGAGGGCATTGACCCTGAGGTACTTCACCTTGTCACTGCTGTCTCCCAGGGCAGAGTCATGGACTAAAACTCCATTTCCTCAGCGAGGGCTTTGGCCTAAAGGCCGCTTGTGAGCCTAAAGTTAAGGTCTCTGTGAGGGACTCCGGCCTAGGGGGCGTGTATGAGCCTAAAATTGAGGTCTCTATAGCAGAGGAGGCAAGCTGAACACCTGCTATGTGAGTGTGGGGGTCTGCGGGGGAGATCACATGAGCCAGAAGAGCCACCCCCCTCAAAATTAAAAACTTCGATGTTTATGGATTTGTACTCAGTGGGAGCATCTACAAAGGGGTCACACCTTGGTTACGCAGGGAAAGGAAATCAAACGGGGCATATGACTTCCGCCTGCCCTCCACATTTCTTGGTCAGTTTAATGGGTTGCTTGTGTCTCCCTCCCTCACCCCAGTCATCCATGACCAGCCCCTTTCTCCAAAGCATGATCCTTCATTACCCACTGAATGAGGCCAGTTCCTTCTCAAAACCAACGCCCACAGGCCAGTCAGCTTTCCAAGTGTCAGCTAACCGGCGCGCCCAGTGATGCCTCAGACCTCCAGGTTGGATGGGGAAGTTGGGCAGAGAATGCCCCCGTTCCCCCACCATTGCTTCATAGGGCCGTGGCATCTAATGAGCTTTTCAGCCTATAGGGTGACCCCCACCTGTGTCCATGGTCACTGTTTCACACAGCTGACCAACTCTGGCAAATCTTGTACCATTCCAAGTGCTGTTCCTTCTCCTGTTCCCTGGAGTTGCTCAGCGCCACTCGCGGCATGTCCTGGCTCGGAGGACACTCACAAATGCCTCTGTCTGGGCCCAACCCTCTTAGATGGATTGTGCATTTCCAGGGCTCCTCCCTGCTCTGGTCTTCCCGGCTGCTGCCTTGTGACCTTTCAGGCCTTGTCCAACAGTGCAGACTCCCAGACACTCCCTTCTCCACCCCTACTCTCCTTTCAGGCACAACTGCATCTCAGAGACCCCCCACCATCCCTTCTCCAGAACCCCATACCTTAGGGGCCACCACCCCATCCCCCCCCAACCCTCACCAGCCAGTTCCTTCTGGGAGTCAGATCTCCCTGGTTTTGTCCCACTTCGGGCCTCAGTTTCCCCCATCTGTGAAATGAAGGGGTTCACCATCTGTTTTTTCTCCCTATTCACCCAATCCTGAAGATGGACAAGAACATTTGACATTGCAGGTGGCCTGTGCCTGTACTCAGGTCTTGATAAATTGTGAAAGCCCTCCATTTGTGCGGTGGGAGATGAGGTGTGTGGTAGGGCATCTTAGAGGCTTCATGAGATCAGAGTACATTAAGCGGATGCAGTGGACAGGCCCGGAGAACGTGGCTGAAATGGAACTTCCAGGAGCCAACACACCACACCCATGGGGCCCCAGGCTGAAGGGTCCCCCACTCTCTGAAGCTGGCAGGGAGCAGAACCAGTCTGCCTCACTGCCTTCAGAGAAGAGGTTAAAAATGGAGCAGGTTAGAGCTTCCAAAGCAATGCCTTGATTATTGAGAGTGTTCCCAAAGTTTTTGTTATTCTTTGTTTTGTTTTAAACTTGGGGACACCTAGGTTCATAACCTTCCACCTTAGTTTCTTTGTATGATAAGAAGTTTAGGAAACCAATTGGTGAAGGAAAATGGATTTATTTACAGTTTGGGCCAAATTAGTATGAGGGAGAAGGATTTTGAGTTTTGCTTTGGCTTTTCTCGAACCAGGGTTTCATCTCCCTTAGTAAAGAGGAATCAAAGGTTAAGACAGCTTTTGGAGGCAGGGTCAGCTGGAAGGCAGATTATAATACAGACTCTCCAGGTGGGGCAGGTCTCTCCTGGCACCAACTCAGGCTCTCAGTGTGGGAGTGAGTGCCTGGAGAAATCCCAGTTCCTCCCTTTATCTCCTTGTGTCTCTTGTGCCGCACTGACAGCTCTAGGCCACTGATCTCGATTCCTCACTCCTGTGGCCAGTGCAATGCTGTCCCCACACCCCGTCCATTCTTAAGAAACAGCACAAAACCTGTATATCTGGGTAAGTTCCAGGACCAGGAGAGGGACAGGATGGAAACAGACCTGCCAATGGATCTCATGGCCACCTTAAGCCGTACCTCAGCGAGGGTGAAGGGAGACAGGAACTGGCTCTGGTTCTGAAGCCCTGGTGCCCTCCATTTGCTGAGCATGGAGTCTGTGCTCACAATCACCAACTTCCTGTGACATTAAAGTCACTAACGGCCAGATTCCAAATCGCAAAGCTACTGATAAGGCTTTGTTCTTGTGTGCCCAGCAACCTGTTCTGATTCCAACAGGACTCCAAGCTATCAATGAGGCCTTGGTTCTTATGTCCCTAACAACCTGTTCTTTTGTATACTTACCCCCATAAATTTTTTATTTTTGAGAATTTCATCTCTGAGTACTTTATTTTCATCAACCCCTTCAACTCCTCCCATGTTACCCCCTCACATTCAAGGCATTTTAGCTATTATTATGTACATACATATGTATTCTCTGTGTATATATCATACATATACATACTATGCATATACATACGATATTAAGTGTTACAGCTCTGAAGGGAACGGTATCCTGGCAGTCAGGAGCCAAGGACTACCACAGATCCACACTGCATAACAAATCTCACACAACAGATTAAGAGGGGAAAACTCCAGCAAGGTAGCTGCTTCTGCTCAGGCGAGAAGCAACAGAGAAGGGAGCAGAAACAGGGTTTCCGTAGCATTTCGGG